CCTCCAAACCACTCAGTCCCTCATGCGGAACCATTGTTGCCAATCTCCAGGTGAGGGCTGGAGACCACTCAAAATTATAATTGCTCTGCAGAAGGGAGGGCGGAAGTCAGCTGAAGTCAAAGGGGCAGATAATGGTAGGTTGATAGTTAGCTGGGAAGGAGATGGGGTTGCCAACTCCAGGCTGGCAAATTCCTGGGGATTTGAGGGGTGGAGCCTGGAGAGGGTGGGGTTTGCGGAGGGGTGGGACCTCAGACAGGTAGAATGCCATAGACTCCACCCTCCAAACCAGCCATTTCGTCCTGGGTAACAATTGTTGCCAATCTCCAGGTGAGGGCTACAGATCACTCAAAATTACAACTGCTGTTCAGGGAGCAGAGATCAGTTCCTCTGGAGAAAACAGTGCACTCTGTCATTATACCCTGCTGAGGTCACCACAGCAAATTGACACTTTTTGCCCAAAGCCAGAGCACTCCCCCAAAGCCTAGATCTCGTTGTATTTATTTCCACAACGGGCTTTACTGCTAGTTTTAGCAGAATAAGAAAATGCATACTTAGTGATCTGCAAATTATGTATTATGATATATACAGGAAATAGACTTAGTTTACATATGAGGTGTAATAACAGAGAAGAAATTGATACTGTATTCTATCCCCACTTTTATGTTTTGTCTGTTTGGAAAAAAATAAAAAATTTAAAACAATTGTAGAAGAGTGATTTTTTTTTTGGTGAGCTCATTTTTTCTATTGTATTCACACCAAAGCCTGTCTTGTTTTTGATACCACGTGGAAGTTGGCAACCCTAGTATTCATCCACATAGGTATGGGCACAAACCAGCTCACAAGCTAAAGTTCTTGATGGATTTTGGATGGTTAGTGATTTGCAAACTGAAGTTCGTGGCAGGTTGACTGGCACAAACTTTCCACAAACTTTCAAGCGGTTTGTGGCAGTTCATGGATACATTTCCAGACACTCCCCACTTAATCAAAATGTTTACCAGACTTCAAAGCAACAGGTGAGAGACTGTAGAGAAGCAGGTGGCAGGGCAAGGTTCCCTGTGCATTTGGCAGGCATAGCTTTCACTTTTGAACCTGCTCCTGACATTTCCCCCAAAAGCACTTTCCTGGGGTATCTTCTTTGGGGGGCCATAACTCAGACCCCATACGTCCAATCTGCACATAACTTGATGGGCATGTAGAGAACCATCAGGGGGAAACCCTTTGTGAGCCTGAGGTATCTGGCTTGCACGGGGTCCATTCTATACACTCCTGAACCTGCACCTCTCATTTCCCCAGAAAACACTTTCCTGGGCTACCTTCTTTGGGGGGCCGTAACTTGGACCTCATAAATCCAATCCTCACCAAACTTGGAAGGTAGGCAGAGGAGAGTCAGACGGAGATCCCCTGTGAGTTTGGTGTCTCTAGCTTGCTGGGGGGGGAGAGATTCTACTGCATCACAAACCTCATGAACTGAATCAGTTCATTTGGTGTCTAAATGTTTGTGACAATTCGTGACTCATGAACCGGGCATGCTATGAACGATGAGTTGAACAGCATTTTCCTGGTTCGTGCCCATCCCTATCCATAAGCTCCTGTTTGTGTCTATTTAGCCTATGTGGACTTCATCAGTGCTCATAGCAGTCATGGCACTCACTGATGTGTTTCCTGGCTGCCACTTACTTCTTCCCCCAAACAAAGATCCAATCCTGGCTTTCTTCCATCTCATTTGAGCAAGAGATGCTTCACAGGAGGCATCACCTTTCATATCTGCATGCAGCACCCATTTGGAGACAGCTGCCTCTGTTATGAAAACACCCAACATTTTGTGGGTGGACCCAGCCCCATGGCAGCCATTTTGTTGTGGTGCCCACTACCTGTTTTTCAAATTCTCAAAGCCCCCAAAGATTCAACGAGGTTGGTGATGCCAATCCACTACATTTTCAGTGTAGTCCTGAACTGAGTTATGCTGCATATATAAGAAAGAGCCACACATATAAGAAAGAGCCACAAGGGCCAAGCACTGGCTTATCCCTTCCTGCCCACCGTCTCACAGTCTGCCTAAATTCATTGTGAGTTATTGACTCAGCATTGCTGTCAGATGGCCATCTAGACTCTATTTAAAAACCTCCAAAGAAGGAGAGCAGACCACCTCCTGAGGAAGCCTGTTCCACTGAGGGCCTGCTCAAACTGTCTTCCTAATAGTTAGCCAAAAACTCTTTTGATTTAATTTCAACCCTTTGGTTCTGACTCAACCTTCTGGGGCAATAGAAAACAACTAATTTCCATCTTCTATATGGCAGCCCTTCAGATACCTGAAGATGGCTATCATATCACTTTTTCAATTATCTCCTCTCCAAGCTAAACATACCCAGCTCCTTTAACCTTTCCTCATAGGATGTGGGTTTTTCCAAATGTTTTGTTGCTGCTACTGTTGTTGGTTCTGGCCACATACTGCTTTGGTTTATCCCCTGATTTCTGCATGCCTTTTTGTGCCTTTAGTGTTCACTTCATCTCCCCCCGCCCCATTCCCCCCCTCCCAGCTCTTTTGAGACCACTCTTAACCTGAACTTTTTCTGGAAGCTCATTCTGGGTTGGCTTTTTCTCTATCAGTTTTCTTTGATCCGTCAACTCCCACCCACCTCCAGCCCACTTTTCAATTTTTGGACTGTTGTCATCATTAAACCACTCCCTCTCCCCCCAAGACAGTGATTTCAATTAAAACAAAAATGACCCTTTTCTGTATATCTCCATGAGGGAGGAGGATAGAGACTTGCTTTTTTAAAAAAGTTGGGAATTCAAAGAACCTGCTTAAACTATCATTGCAACACCACAGCATTATATTGTTATTTTAGGGGCATTAAACAAAGAGGGTGCTGTGATCCACTGATACTGACACTGATGGTGACTGCACCAGTCCTCATTATTTAAGGCACATGCAGAAGAAAAACTGATTCCATAACTGTGAAAATGGCACAAGGAAGGCAGATGTGCAGAAGAACCTTGCCCGTACCAATTCCAGTGCTTGTGGATCAACTCCCAAGAAATTCAGTAGTAACTCCAGCATGCAGAAAAGGTCTTGGTTACTATCTTTCTTGCCCTCCTCTGTACACATTTCAGTTTATTCACATCCTTCTTAAACTGTAGTGCCCAAAACTGAACACAATACGCTAAGTGAGGTCTAACCAGAGCAGAGTAAAGTGATATTATCACTTTGCATGATCTGGATACTACACTTCTGTTGAAACAGCCCAGAATTGCATTTGCCTTGTTCAGTATATTAATTAATTAATTAATTTGTATAGTGTTGTGTGTAGAATAGTCAGGTGATCCTAAGATTATCTGGCAGTCAGAAATTCTAGCTCTTTAGCATTGTGCGCCACTAGGTGGCAAGCTGGACTTGTTTTTAAGGCAAGAGACATTTCAGAGGTGGTTTTGTCATTGCCTGCCTCTACAGCACACCCCTGGTATTCCCTGGAGGTCACGCTTCCAAATACTAGCCAAGGCCGACCCTGCTTAGCTCCTGAGATATGACGGGATCGGGCTAGCCTGGGCTATCCAGGTCAGGACAGTGTATGATCTATATTCAGCATATGCTCTACCAAGATCCATTGTTGCATCCTTCCTCCTGCAAACAGAAGCACAGTAGGAGGAGACAGGTTGTGAGCCGGTAGCATCAAAAACCATTGCCAAGGAAGGCCTGAGCCAAGTGGCCCTTGAGGTGTTGGAAAAGTTGCTGGGCTTTGGCTCTGCTTGTTCTTGACCACCAGTGGTCCACCAGGAAATTTCCCTGTGAGTTAAATGGCCAGGCCACCTCTGCATGTGAATCGGCAATCAGAGGAGAGCCCAGATGTGAGTTGCCAGGGTGCTGTGGGATTCCTAGGCACCAGCAGGAGGAGATGTGAAGAGTCATCCTGTAGAAGATGAAAGCAGCCTGTGATGAAAATAGTAATGCGGCCAGGTTGTTGGTGGGTGCCCCTAAATGGGAACACATCCAACCTGTGCTGAAGGCGCTGCACTGGCTGCCTATAGCGTACCAAATTCGTTTCGAAGTGCTGGTGCTTACCTTTAAAGCCCTACATGGCCAGGGTCCGACATACCTGAGGGACCGCCTTTCCCCATACAGGCCCCAAAGAGCACTTCGGTCGGGGTCACAGCACCGTTTAGTGACCCCGGGCCCTAAGGAGGCCAGGCTAGCTACCACGAGGGCCAGGTCCTTTTAGGTGGCGGCCCCTATCTGGTGGAATGAGCTCCCAGAAGAGATCAGGGCTCTGCGGGACTTTTTACAGTTCCGCAGAGCCTGTAAGATGGAGCTCTTCCGCCAGGCTTTTGAGTAGGGGCCGCCGCCGCCACTACCACCACCGCATATATGCGGAGCAGGACCGTCGGGGGTGGGCCGATGAGTAACTGGAACATCATGGCTCATGCCGTCTCCCTTCGGATTTTGATCTTGGACCTCCTCCTGACACGCAATGGAGAGTGTGCAATTTTAGTCCATGTATCCTGTGAGTTGTTAATGTTTTCAGCTTCTGCTGTTTTAATGTATCTGTTTTATAGCACCTTGTGCCCTGTAAGCCGCCCTGAGCCTGCGTGCGGGGAGGGCGGGATAGAAGTGGAATGAAATAAATAAATAAACAATTCTGTTGAGTGGCTCAGATTTAATCCTTGGAGTTATGGGAGAGACCTTGCTAGCATTTCTTGTTGAATGCCCTGAGAGGTGTGACCACCTGTGGCCACTGGGCTGTAGTTTCTTTGTTCCAAAAGAGCATGGTGAAAGAGGGGGATATTAAATCATACCACCTCCCTGGAAATCTACTTTCCAAACCGTGAACAGCTTGTTCTGTGCCTTGTTTACAGACCAAGCTCTCTGGAGGGGTGACTGCTCACCCCCTTCCATGTGACAGTGTGTCAGCCCCGAGAGGAAACACGACCCTCTTCTTCCCAACTGATTCTGCCAGCCAAAGCACACGTGACCCTTGAGATAAATTATAAATAGACAACTGGGAGCTGCCGCAGACAAAGTGCAGAAACCCAGAGAGTTAGCTCGAGGTGTCAGACAGCAGAGCACCACTCGAGAGCCAAGTCGGTCTTCTAGAAGGAGATCGCAAGTCGTTCTCCGCAGCGTCTCTCCTGCCAGTAAGGATATACCTTGGAAGAAGCCCCGAACGGAGCAATGGATTACCAGTCGAGCATCATTCGAGACTCTAACCCCATGGAGAACCTGGAGAAGCAGCTGATCTGTCCCATCTGCCTGGAGATGTTCGCCAAACCTGTGGTGATCTTACCCTGCCAGCATAACCTCTGCAGGAAATGTGCCAATGACGTCTTCCAGGTCAGTGTGCACCCAAAATATTGTCTAAGGTAGGGTGTGTTTTAAACTGCTTGGCCGTTGCTAAGATTGAAACCGCAGTGCTTGAGGGTTCACAGGAGAGCGGCAGCATTATGTTAAGGAAGTTCTGGGAATGGGAGGGCTTTCTGCTGCTGACAAGGGGAGCATGGAAGGCTGTTTTCACAAGGAGGGGCTTTTCCTTAAATCAGTCTACAACCATTCTTCTTCGTTGGCTTGGAATATATGTTTCTTATTCACAGCGGACACACAAATTTAATGGTTCGCTGGAGCCAGTCTCCAAAGGGCATTTTTGGAGTCACGTGTGAAACTGTTTGCACCATGACCTGAGTAAGTGCTAGTCACCGTTGACACTTTTATTGCAATCTTAAGTGGAGTTACATACTTTCAAGTCCATTGGTGGGCTTAGAAGGGTGTAACTTTGCATAGGATTGCACTGTTTGTCTCTGGTTGAAAGTGGTTTTTAAATCTCTTATCCAGTTCATCCCAATCCCATGTGTATTTACTGAGTTTGTTGGGACTTACTCCCAAGAAAGCGTGCATAGATTGCAGCCCTTGACATACGTGCTAGTAAGCCTTTGTAGAATTATAGCAAGAGGTCTGTCCAGGTGTGCCTCTTCAAGTTGTCTGTGTATCTTCAATATCCCTTGAATACTGGACAAAGGTCTCTGTCATGGTGTTGTCTTTCACTGTCCAAGATCAGGATCAATCCTTATTTTTTTTAGGGGGATGCAATGAACCCCTTGACCTTGGGAAGCACTGGTTCTGGCCTACAGCACCTCAGCCTTGCCTGGCAAACCATAAGCATCCCTCTTCATACCAGAGAACTAATTCTCTCCTCTTATTATAGAGGAATGCTGGCTAGGAACCAGCTGATAAGAGCATTTGTCACTTAGGGGCCCCATTTTCCTCCTGACTCAGATTTCCCCAGCTGTGTTTGTAGTGAACCTCCAAGGAAACAAAACAAAGGATTGGGGAGGAGAAAATGGCCTCTGTTTGCTGGATGAAACCTCAAAGTTTTCCAAAAGATTTACAGTTTGGCAGGCTGGGAAGAGGTGCCTGTTGAAACTGAAGCCAGTCTTGTCACTGGCTGCATCCCTCAAGAAGGGCTCTTGCATGGATGTTGTTTCCAGTGAGGAAAATCTGTGTAACTCAACAAACACCTGTGTGTGTCTGTTTTATTGGCACACCTAGTTTTTCCATCACGAAATGATATCCTTCCTTGTGCCAGAGCAGAACTGTCTTGTGGGAAAAGAGCCCAAGAGATGCTTCTGGAAATGGAGATACATAATCAGTTTCGTGCCCAAAAGGCCAATACAAGTAGAATCTCATTAATACGAACACCAAGCAAGAAGTATGTGTGGGGGGTGGACACTCTGCAGGATTAAACACCTTGGGAATTGGTGTCGGAGCCAATGTGGCTTGGAATATCATGCACAGCCCACAGGCCCAGCCAAACATTCCTCCATCTGGCAGATCTGATGTCCATTTACATGGGGCAAATTGTTATTTATCATATAGGGAACAGTTTGTAGAGGAGAAGGATAGGAAGGCAGTCAAATCTTTTCCAGCACAAATGCACTGTTCAGCTTAATGTCTGTTTGCAATTCATTGCCAACGAGTGCAAACAGTGGTGCAAATTGGTTGTAAAAAAAATCAACTTTGTGCACAAAAGACTACAGATTGCTGAAGCAATGTCTGTGCTTGCATCTACACAGAGTTGGGGGGAGGTGTTGTTCCCACAATGCATTTCTACATTTTCCTTTATGAACCATAAGGGTACCCTGTCACCCTTCAGTCCACTGGGGACCCTGTTGGGATGGCAGGTGCACAAGATGAAGCCACATCATTAGGTCACAAGGAACTGTATTTTATTCCCAGCACTCTTTAGATACTGTCAAATAATAAAATTCCACTATGATTCCTCCCTCCACCCCAGTCATTTGCTACAGCAAAATAAATGCAAGTGCACAAGGCAAATCACAGTTCAGTGCTATGAAGAATTAAAGTAAAGGTAAAGGTTCCCTTGCTCGAAAGCCAGTCGAGTCCGACTCTAGGGTTGCGGTGCTCATCTCCGTTTCAAAGCCGAAGAGCCAGCGCTGTTTGAAGACGTTTCCGTGGTCATGTGGCCGGCATGACTAAACACCAGGGCGCACGGAACGCTGTTACCTTCCCACCGAAGTGGTACCTATTTATCTACTTGCAATTTCTTGCTTTTGAACTGCTAGGTTGGCAGGAGCTGGAACTAGAGACGGGAGCTCACTCCGTCATGCGGCACACTCAGGTCTTGAACTGCTGAACTACTGACCTTCCACAGCCTGCAGTTCAGCATCTTAACCACTTGAGCCACCACAGCTCAATTAGGCACACCTAAAACCAGTCAAATTCTCATGTGATTGGGCTGAAAACTGATCAAGGGGTTAGAGCACCTGCCCATGGTGGTCTCACAATGAAGCTGATCTGTAGTACCTTTCAGAATTGTCTTCACAGAAGTCCTGGCATTCACTGCAAGATGCAATAGCCACTAGTCTAGGTGGCTTTTTAAAGAGGAATAGACAGGTTAAATTAATGGCAATTAGGTAAAATCTCAACATTCAGGGCAGTCGGCCTCTGAATAATAGCTACTGGGGATTGTATCAAGGATTCGGAGCTGGACTAGATACAGGGCATGGTTTTTCTTCTTCATGCTCTGTTTATATTGTATCAGAGGATTTTGGTTGTCCATGGTTAAAAAGCAAATACTTTCAGGACTCTGAGGGCGCTTGGTCTAAAGGCAAGTCTTATATCCAAGATGGGATTTCATTTTTATATTTACGTGTTTGGATTTCTACTAAACCTTACCTTTAGGGCTCCAGTGACATTCAGAAAAAGGCAGGCAAAATATTCACATAAAAACCAGAAGAGAAATTATTTTGGGATGTTTCCAGCCATCTGCATATTTTGCAGAGTGGGGCTTTATTGCTCCCCCCCCCACCTGATGCAGGCCACTGGGCACCCCCAAATTCTGACGCTGAGCATCAGCAGACCCTTGGGAACAGCCCTGGGGGCATCAGCAGTGGTGGGGGGGGGAGGCAGAAATTGCCACCCCGTTGACACAAATGGAAATGCTGTTCCAGTGGGTCAAGATGGATAGCTCATACCCTGCCACATATTTTGTTATTCTTTAAGGTGCTACTGAACTCCTGCTCTTTTCTACTGTTCCAGTGGAGGAATCACATGGTTGGATACATCCTATTGCATTTATATCTGTTTTCCACTGTGGAATTCAAGGCGGGTTGCATTTATTTTTATTGAGACATTTGTACACTGCTTTTCTTCTCAATGGGGACCCAAAGTGGCATATAGTGTTGTCCTTCACCCTCCATTTCATCCTCACAACTCTGTGAAGTGGGCTAGACTGAGAGTGAGTGACTGGCCCAAAGTCACCCAGAGAACTTCAATGGTAGCGTGGAAACTTGAACCCGAGTCTCCAAGGCCAGTATTCAAGCTGCTACCACCATCCTGGCACTAAGGTTTACTTGAAGGCTACTATCCAGGTACTGAGCAATGCCAGACTTTCTTAGCTTCAGCAAGTCAGATACGTCATGTCTCTTCCAATCATACCTCATGTGATTAAAATAAGCAGACATAAACTACTTGCTAATCTTTGCTTCAAATGAAAACTCAGTTGGTTCTGGCCACCAATAACCAGCCCCAATCAAACTGTGCTGGCAACCATTCCTAAGTGATTCAGACTGGGGCTGAAGATTCATTTTTAATGACAAACATTGCACACCAAACATGTTGGGAGTTTCCAGTCATTTTGGGATGGACACTGGTTAATCATTCTTACTGCATATTGGATGGTTGCGACAGTACTTGAATAGCTGAGATCTCAGGACAGATGGTGGCAGCGGTGCAAGGAGAGTTGGCTTTGGTGGTAGCTATTTGACCTTTGACCTTATGTTGTGTATGGCACCCACAGGCTGCTAACCCATATTGGCAAAGTAGTCGCGGAACAACCTTGTCGGGCGGGCGGTTCCGTTGCCCTTCCTGCCGCCACGAAGTCATCTTGGACCGGCATGGAGTCTATGGCCTCCAGAGGAATTTACTGGTGGAGAACATCATTGAGATCTACAAACAGGAATACTCCAGGTTGGTGCTCCTTGAACCGCTGATCATCAGAAAGGGGGTTGAGGGGAGGCAATCTGTAATTGATTAAAAAGTCTGGGGGGAGAAGGAGTCCTTCTCCTTTGACTGAGATGGAGTTTGCTGAGTGACTTCAAGCCTCTCATGGATCCTAAATTAAGGATCTGTGGGATGAGAGAGAGGGTTGGCAACAGATTGGGGGGGAAACTGCCCAGACCTGCTTCCTGATGGTGCAGATTGTGCAGGCCTGCTTCCTGATTCTTGCGCTTCCCAATTGTGCAGACATCATCAAATGAAGCTTGTTGTGTATGGTTGCCAGCTCTGGGTGGGGAAATACCTGGAGTTTCTGGGGGTGGAGCCTGTGGTGGGGTTTGAGGAGGGGAGGGACCTCAGCAGGGTCCGATACCGTAGAGTCCACCCACCAAAGCAGCCATTTGCTCCCGGGGAACTGATCACTGTCATCTGGAACCAATTGTAATAGTGAGAGATTCCCCAGGCCCAACCTGGAGGTTGGCAACCCGGTTGTCATGGCACTGGCAGCAAACATGCTCGCAGATCAAACTGCTGGTGTTTAAAGGGTCTGGTAGGAGATATGAAAGACATCTGCATGGGACCCTGGAGAGCCATTGTAAGTCGGAGTAGGCAAGACTGGCCTTGGCAGACCAGTGGTCTGACTCAGTCTAAGACAAGTTCATGTGGAGGTAAGGATTTACCTTTTCCTCTAAAAAATCAGCCCCTCCTACATTTTATGTAGAAAATTAAATCTCAGGGAGAAGTTTCTGTCCTAGCCTTCTCCAGCTAGTTTTCTAATTGGGGGGAGAAGAATTTAGGTTGTGTGTGGAATAGGATTCTGTAGTGCATTCTGCGGTGGTACTATGGCCAGAGCCATTTTAACAAGTGATGAACTGTTGATCTAGATAGCCTGCTGCCTCCTGGGTGAATCTAGGCACAAGAAGGTCTCAGAGATTGGGGGTGTGTGCCTTGAGTTCAGTACACAGGGCTTCCCCATGTCCTTTAAACCAGCACTGAGGGCTCATTCCCATCCCAATCAACTGTGTTCTTCTTTATACAACACACATAGTTAGCTTGGGGAATTCATTGCAACAAGATCCAGTGATGGCCACTAGTTTAGAAGACCTTTTAAATAAAAATTAGACCATTTCACAAATCAGTATCACGAATCAGTAATCAACAATTACTAGCTAAGCAGAAACTCCATGGTCAGAGGCTGTATACCTCTGAATGCCACGATGCTGGTAACAGGGGGTGGCATCATATACTAGTGAATTCAAACAGGCATCTGGGTGGCCAGAGCTGGAAACACAATTGATGACTCCTTGGACCCTGGTCCAATCCAGAACAGCTTTGATGTCCAAAGTCTAGCGCACCAATGACAGTGTCATGGCTTTTAATCTAGACAATATCCCATCAGAGAATTTACATTAATCCATGCCCATCAAAATCCATGAAAATTGTCATATTATAAAGAGATCCAGATACAGGAGGGCAGGTACTGATGAGATTCTGAGGGGTCAGAAGTCACATACAGAGCAAAGAAGGGGCATTCGCTTCCCAAAATAATATTACGGGATCTGCAGAAACTGAACTTGCTTCTCGGACACTTTGGCACACGTAGTAGAAAGATCTAAACATAACCTCACTAAGGAGGTTAATATTAGAGATGAAATGGGAGCCAGTCCAGTCTCTACTGTACGCAGAGATGTCCAGGTTTGAGTCTTCATTCCTCTCCCACATCATGACTTCTATATAAGTGCTTCATCCTTTCCACACCAGCTATTTCCCTCCTCTAAATCACTCACTCCAATGTGCCCCCACAGAGTTTCAAATATATGTTTGTCATGCAGAGGACGAGTAGGCAGAGGATTAAACATTGCCTCTGTCCCTTCCCACTCCAGAGCAAATTAACTTTTTAAAACAAAGGGATTGTTGAAGCACTACTGTTTTAGTCTGTAACATAAAACTTGCTTCTTGGCCAAATCTGTTCCCCTTTCTCTGAGCCAGATTCCCAAAGTTGAAGCATCATATTAGTTTGATTCTCTTGTGTTTTCCTTAGCCGGCCCTTGAAGAAGGGAAATCACCCCATGTGCAAGGAGCATGAAGACGAGAAGATCAACATCTACTGCTTAACCTGTGAGGTGCCCACCTGTTCCATGTGCAAAGTATTTGGGGCTCACAAAGACTGTGAAGTGGCACCCCTTCAAAGCGTCTTCCAAGGGCAAAAGGTATGAACTGAAGCTCAGTATCTGCTTTTCAACTGTTTCATACTCATTTAGGATATTTCCGATTCAGTCTTTAATGCCTGCTGTGAATGGTCTGCTCATTTCCCAGGATCCCTGGGTTGTGTGACAGGGTGCATACTCAGGGCACTGCCCAGGACTGTTAACCTTCCCAATCACTGTGCTTGAAATGAATTTACCTTAGGAGACAACCCATGCTCTCCTGTGGCTTCACATTTTTACCCATCAACATTTTGAAGAAAAAAGTATACTTTGAAGGCTCATGCAACGGCCTTCGAAAATCCCTTCTCTTCCAGTCTTTCATGCACTTTCCATACTTGTCCACAATCATTGTTCTGCTGCTATTTTGGTGCCATTTAAAAAATCTTGATAGGATTACTTCTTTATGGCACAATGCCTGCCAGTCAGGGATCACAATCCCAGCCAATCAGGAACTGCCCATGGTCATGAGTTTGCTATCTCATGCTTTTTAAAAATCCTGTCCTTTCTTCAAGGAGTTTAAGGTAGCTGTTATGTACATGGGCCGCCACAAGGGGTCCGCGGCACAGGCAAGAGCTTGGATCCTAGAACAATGGAAACTTCGGATCCTGGATCCCCCAGCCCCAACCAATAGCCACTTTGGCGGGACATTCAAACCCTCCAATGGGAATGGGGGGTGCTGGGTGGATATGTATATAGTTGGCCCTGTCGGGCCGTTAGAGTTAGTCTTTGTATGTGTTAAGTATAATAAACGCGTGCTAAGCATGTCGTCGTCCGAGTCCTCCATGCGGCGAACCCAGTACTTTTCAGCAGCATACATGGTTTCTCTGTCCCCATTTTATTTATTTAAGTCACCTTCAATCCACCTTTGGGGATTTGAATTTGAGTTTTCCAGGTCATATTCCAGCACCCTAACCATGACACCATATTGGCTGTCTTTCTCTTCTCACTTTGTGATGACAAAATGGCGCCATATAATCACATATGGCTATATGATCAGCAAAGGGAAAGGAAGCCAAATTCTGCTCTTCTTCTGAAATGAGGTGAAGAGAATTCATCTCCATTGCCATGGCAATGGGGCAGACACTCTGTTTTGCCATGACTGGGTGAGTTCAATACAGTGAAGTAAAATATTAGTCCGGTTTCTTTTGTGACTGGGGAATCCTAGTTTTTGCTCCCTTAGGAACAGTCCCCCAAAATCACCAAAAACAAGCTCCCACTTTTTAGGACATATGAAAATGCTGATGAAACACACCCACCCACTTTAATTGGCAATTGTGGGCCCACTGTCAGCCTAATGCCACCTAACTGTGTGATTGAGGGACCCAGACAGTTCCCTGGTACACAGTCTGAAAACCTGTTGGATTAAGGCAAAAGAAGGCTTCTCCACTGTTATGAAACTTTAGTGCTTCTGCACCAGGGAAAAGGGTGCCATTCTTTGACCTCAGAGGGGTTCGCATCTAGCCAACTGGGGATGCAGATGAACTCTCAGGGTGGGAGGGAGGGAGGGCTCTTGCCCCATTTGGGCCAAGAGGCCACTGGAGACACTAGGATGTGCTGCACTGTGACTTTCAGGCATAGTCTCCCAGCCTGAATGCAGTCGGTCTGAATATACAGATGACTGCAGTCCCAAAGCAGTCACTGGAAGGTTATATTTAGAATCAAGAGCAAGGAGGAGGGTGCGAGGTCTAGGAAAAGCATTCCCAAGGGAGAAGCTGGGTGGGTGGAGGTCTTTCCCTGGGCATCATGGATAGAATCCAGGGCTCCTGATTTCTCTTCCAGATTTTAATCCCATAGAGTAGCATGGCATGGGTCTGAGCAATTCCATTGCATAGTTCCTTTCAAAGGACTTGGGCATTGTCACTGCTACCATTAATTCCCTTTGGGCAACCTTCTTCCCCCCAAGCAGCTCCACATGCCTGCCAGTGTTTGTGAGGGTCATTGCCCTATAGTACTGAAATGGAGTGAGGATTGACACCTGGTTGACCCTCCCCTCCAAGGTCCAATGATACATTTCATTAGAGCCAGTTCCCAGGACCATAGGGAGATGTGAAGAACGTGGGTTGAGTGGACCCCATGGGGATGTTGTCCTGCAGCAAGAAGCAGTTCTACAAATAGCATCATTGCCCTACATCCAGCTTGCAATACAACTTGGACTTCCCACCCCAGAGCTCTCAGAATGGGTCAAGCTTTGGGGTGATTGCTGTAGGCCGAGTGGTGAGCCAGGATTGTACAATGGCTTTGGGTGACAAAATTTGCACACAGCCAGACCAAACGCTGCACAACACATTGCCAACATGCCAGCTTGGCTGTGCAAACCAGCCACAAATCACTTGACTCCTTTCAGCCCCTGCAAAATGCTGGTTTTAGCCAGCCTGCCCCAAGCTGTCTGGTGCCAAGAGGCAATCTGTCCGTGTGGTTTCATGAATGGGCTACATGCAGGGTGCCAGTGGGTGAAGGAGACTAGGGGGACAAAATTCCAGGGACCTTGGCTACCCTGGCAGCCCAAACAAATGGACAAGTCACATCATTTGTTAGACTTGGACCAGAGTGGGATAGCAAGGGCCAAGTAGAAATATTTGTCTGAAGGGTCCAGGGAGGCTCTCAGCAGTCCTGACTACAAGCTGGCAAAGGTTGGCTTAAAAACTAACAAGCATGACAGGGATCAGAGGCCATCAGCTCCATGATAGGCTGAAGCTGCCTAGATGGTCAAGGAATGGTGGATTTGCATCTGCCTCAGTTCAGGAACAAGTGACCACCGGGCCCATATTTCCCTAGTATGTCCCTGTGTTTCCTTAGCAAGAGGGTACCTGACCCATACATTTCTATGGTGGGACAAACCTAGCCTCTCTCAAATTAAACCTCTACAAAGTGCAGATGACCACCAAATTCCAGAATCCCTGCCATGCACCCTTGAACACCCGTTTGGACCTCCCTGTTTCCTCAGCTCCTCTCTCGCTGCTCTCTAAAGAGCAGTGTCTTCTCTCGCCTGCTGGGAGGAAGGCCGCAGGACTGAAATCTATTCTTATCTTCTTCCCTCACAGACTGAACTGACCAACTGCATCTCTATGCTGGTGGCAGGGAATGACAGAATCCAGACTATCATCAACCAGCTGGAAGAGTCATGCAAAACCACTGAGGTGAGGAATGCAGCAAATGGGCTGAGCTCCTTGAAATCTGAACGGCGGAAGGGAAACCCAACCCTGAGCCGTGGACGAGGACTGTCTTGGGAGCCGTAGCCCCTCTCCAAAGCTTGGTGGCTTCTCCCTTCCAAATCTGGGCATCTAAACCAGGGGAGAGGACTATTTAATTAGAGAGGAAGAAAATGGCACGAAAGGGCCACCTGCCTGGGTGGGGTAGAGCTTGGAAGTCGAAGTGGAATACTGTGTGCACAGAGGGGGGGGGCAGACGGGGGGATGGGGACTTAGATTATTTATGTCTGTATGCTGATCTCTCTGATTAAAATACTTGAGGCAGCCCAGAACTGTCATTCAGAGCAATAAGCAATAAAAGCAATACCATGCCTTTTATTTACTTTATTTTATTTAAAACATTTCTATTCTGCCTTAGCTCCATGGGATCATGGCAGCAAATAATGTAGCAATTGAGATGCAAAGATTAAAAAACACAGGATCAGCAAACTCACAATATGCTGGAAAAATTCATTCAGTGCTCTCTGGAAGAGGCCTGCCTTACAGGTGTTGTAAAATAGTCATAAGTGTTTAATATTCAGACTATCAATGGATCTTGCTCTATTGGAAAGAAGAGATTTCTTTGCTTTTAAAAACCTTTATTTCTAAGGGTAAAAGGTACACGGAATAACTACAAATAAACATAACCCTAACAGCTACATTTTCTAAGCTGTCTATAGTAAAACACTAGCACACAGATAATGGAGAATCTGTCCTTCTCGACCCCTAGAAAGGAAGTCACCTGAAAACAAACAGCCAATCTGTATCACAGTAGAAGCTACTTTTCCTGGGCTAATTCCCCATTGGCTTACTGCCAGATATCCATTCCAGGTCAGTCTAAACAATAGCAATACTAGGCAAACAAGTTAACCCTATAATGACTGGATTGTCAGACCTTGTAAACACATACATTTCCAACAACAGGCTGTCCTAAATGTAGCAAGGGAAGACACTGTCCTCACCTGCTTTGGCAGGCTGTTCCAAAAGACTGGAACCACCACAGGGAAGACCTGTGATCTCTCCCATGACCTTTGTGGACTGCTGTCCAGCCCCCAGTTACACAGGGGTCAGTCGAGCCCCAAGTAAGCAGCTGCAGTAGTAAGGCTGCTTTGTGGCAGGGGAGACCCATTTGAATCACTTTGTTCCAGAGGCAGAAACAATGGAGTAGAGAAGGCGGTGCCTGTGGCAATAGAGAGATGGAATTGGGTGACATGTTAGCAACATCCATTGATGAATGCATACCTTCTGGTGTAGATCTTTCCCCTTGGGTATGGCAGGCAGGCTGGGGTGTCTCTTTGGAAGGGCTTGAGAGTATGCCTGACCCACAGCTCCCCTTCCTACACTCCCTTCTCAGTAAATAGCTCATTCGTATATTCATTCCCTGGCAGGAGAACAGCCGGCAGGTAAAGCAGGCCCTGTGTGAGAAGTTTGAAGCTCTGATTGCTGCCCTGGAAGAGAAGAGGAGCGAGCTGCTGGAGCGGATCTCCAAGGAGCAAGAAGAGAAAGTCGGGTTCATGCAGAACCTCGTCCAGCACTACAAAGAGCAGCTGGAGAAGTCTAGCAAGCTGGTGGAGAGTGCCATTCAGTCCATGGAAGAGGAGGCAGGAGCTGCATTTCTCTTGGTGAGCCAGAAACCCAGATCGAGTTGGGCATCCAAATGCCCGTAGTCCTCTGGATGGAGGCTGGCAGCTGGGGCTAGGTGTATTTATTTATTTGTTTAGAATATTCCTATACCAGTTCTTCAGAGTCTTGCTTGAGGCAGCTTACAATTTAAACCATGGTATTAAAACACAAACCATTAAAGTTTGACTTTTCCTTACTTATCTAGGCCCAAATTGGTCCAAGAGTGGATTAGGACAATACTCAGATTATCGGGGGTGAAGGAAAGATGCAATTCACGATGCAATTCACAAGCCTTATCAATTTGCCCATCCTTTAGCTTTCCAGAAATAGCGGCTAAGGGGATTATCACAAAAGTTATGGGGCTCCTTTCCCTGAGCCCTCTATAATTGGACACAGGATTACAGAATGCACAAATACTGGGATTTTGTCAATGACCCAGTTTTGCTGATGATGCTGACATAAGCCATGATTGAAAGAGAGTTGCCGTGCACAAAAACCAGTCCATGGCCAGGGTAAAACTTGAACCCAGATCTCATAGAACTAAGCCCTACTCCAGTGATGGCGAACCTTTTAGAGACCGAGTGCCCAAACTGCGACCCAAAACCCACTTATTTATCGCAAAGTGCCAACACAGCAATTTAACCTGAATACTGAGGTTCTACTTTAGAAAAAACAACTCATACATTAAGATGATCCAAACAAAGTAAGGAAAGCAATCCCAAATGCTTTCATTTACTTAAAATTATTTGGCAGAGAATTCGACACTTTAATGATTGTCTGGGCCTGGCTGGGGCGATGGCACGCGTGCCCACAGAGACGGCTTTGAGTGCCACCTCTGACACCCGTGCCGTAGGTTCGCCACCACTGCCCTACTCCATTCCTCTTGCATAGAAAGGCTTAACCTCCAACCTTCCCCCTATGTGACAGGTACAAAGAATATTTAACAATGCTTAACATTTATAAACTTCCCTGCATATGTTTTCTCTGAATTTTTGGTATGACCCCTGTAAGGCAGGTCAGTATTACAGGGAGAGCTCTGAGCCTGACAGGTAGTAGCTTATCTAAGACTCACTCCCAAGCCCATGGTAGAGGTAATATTTGAACAGGCACTTCCTGAGCCGCTATACAACAATAATTCTTTAGGCTTGGTGCCATGTTCCTAGTAGGTGAGGTTGATACCTGAACTGAGTGAAAGTTCTTATAGATAGCCTAGGTGGAACCAGAGAGGTTACTGGCCTGATTTTAAACTGAGCAATCTTTATTTACAATTGTGTTCTCTCTCTCTCTCTCTCTCTCTCTCTCTCTCTCTCTCTCTCTCTCTCTCACTCTCTCTCTCTCTGTGTCAGAAC